TCACACACACACACACACACACACACACACTCTCACTCACACTCACACTCACTCACATACACACATACACACACACACACACACAGATTATTGCAGTATGTTTTACAAGAAAATACTAATAATGAAATAAAAATACTAAACTTTACTTAAATACCAAAGTTTAATTCAACATGTTACTTGCTGTTTCTTTGTAATTATTTGACAAATTTATTGATACTAATATTTCACAATATTACTGTTTTTAGTGTATTTTTGATCAAATAAATGCAGCTTTGGATAGCAGAAGAGACTAAAACATTAAACATGTGCAGGGGTGAACAGGCTAAATAAAAGTGTAAGTTTTATTCAAATATGAGATATTTATCTTCCTCTAACCAGTTGAAAAATGATTGTGTGTGCAGTATGTTCTTTGTCCAGTAGGGAGAGACCAACACCATCATATTTGCTCTTCCTGCCTATAACATTGGTTTTATTCTCACATTGGAGGAGATTTCCAGCAAACACTGGGCAGAGAGCGGTAATAACAGACAGAAGCATTGACCGCTGGACCTGCTGTGATGAACGAACTCAATAGTCCAGAAATGGCAGCAGAAGCTTTTAAGTTGTTTGCTATAATTTCTCATCTCATTCAGTCAGAGCAGTCTGTGCTGAAGTGGTTCTGATGACAGCGGGACTCGGGTCTGTCTGAACACCAGCCATACAAATCACTTAAATCAGGTCATGTGTCATTTCAACCAGAAACTGCACTTTTTTTTGTTTGTTTCCATGGCAATCTATGTTTTTTGTCTGCATTCGGACGGGAACTTGTTGGTGTTTATTTGCCGCAGTCAATGCATCCGAGCAAAAAACAGGCATTCAGGATGTTCAGTGGAGCTCCATCATCAGATTGTGTGTTTACTGCGGTTATTCTTGAAAAGGCCTCAAAACCAAATACACAGACGAATTCATTTGAAACAACGGAATGACCCTCGCTAGACAACACAACGTTAAAGAATAGAAAACTACGTGCCAAAAATATAAACAAAGACTGACTAAAATGCTTACAGTATTTCACTGACACGGTTGATATTTAATATTTCTTAACGATTTATAAAATGAAATAATGAAATAACATTTGACTTAAGTCAGTCAAAAGTCTTGACATCCTGAAGTTCTTTCTGGACTTTCAAAATTTATTTATTTTTAAATGCTTTTAATTAAAATACAAAAATGAAATATATAACATAAAAATAAAATAAAAATGACAACTTTTTTATTTAAAATGCAAAAATAAATTTTATAAAATAAAACAAACAGAAAGTAATACACAAAATACACAAAATAATGATCTTTAAAAAAGCATCATATGACCCCTTTAAATAAAAATAAATAAATAAAATGACAACTACTTTTTTAAAATGCAAAAACAAACTATATAAAGTAAAATGCAAGAATAAAATCTATAAAATAAAATGCCAAAAAAGTAAACTAAAACAATTAAAAAATAAATGCAAAATAAAATGACAACTTTTTATTTCAAATGCAAAAATAAAATATTTACAATTAAATAAAATGCAAAAATGTCATTAAATGAAAAGAAATCACAACTAATCACAACTTGGAAAAATAGGCAAATCTATTACATATTTCTTATTAGATATTAGAACTTTTGCGTTAAAATAATTTCCATACTAAATAAAACAATATCTGTACATTTGTCTGTTGTGGCCCTTTACTGGTTGCTATACATCACATAAATGTACCACATGAAAATGATGTTTTAAAATAACGTAAGGTTTGAAAGGATCAAGTGAGGTTCTTTTTTTTTTTGTTGGGTTAAATCAGACTAATTTGTGGTCTCTATTTCAGACAGTCTATTTCAGATCAAATAATAAATGCCATTTTCATGACGTCCTGCTCCTCTTACAGTCACTTCCAGTATTTCAGCAGCTTCTCTTATGAATCAGAGATTCCTTCCATCAGACACTGATCTAGATTAAGAGTGTCTCTCTAATGATGAATTGAGTGAGACAGTAAATTATATATTTACAAGGATCCCATTGTTTTTGCAGAGAACCGTCTCGTGTCAGACCCAACAAACCGAATCCATCTGACACAAACTCCATTCTCACTTAAACTCAACTCCTGTGTACAGAATTGAATACTAACATACGGTTTTACATGCTCAGTCCCGTTACCATCCCTGAAATAAGTTAGTTTGTATTTTAATTCCAATTATATAAACTTTTATGCAGTTGAAATGCAGTTGATTGCATTGCATTGTAGGAAACAGTATTCCACACACTATTAGTATTTATGTATAATGCATTATAAAAATATTCACAATGTATGTTGTAATGCATTATAGATTTTCTGAAATAATTGTAACCAAAGTTAAAATGCATTATATACTGAACAAAATTATAAATGCAACACTTTTGTTTTTGTTGGAGGTGAAGATGCTGGATGTGGAGGTCCTGGGCTGGTGTGGTTACACGTGGTCTGCGGTTGTGAGGCCGGTTGGATGTACTGCCAAGTTCTCTGAAACGTCTTTGGAGACGGCTTATGGTAGAGAAATGTACATTAAATTCACGGGCAACAGCTCTGGTGGACATTCCTGCAGTCAGCATGCCAATTGCACACTCCCTCAAAACTTGCGACATCTGTGGCATTGTGCTGTGTGATAAAACTGCACATTTTAGAGTGGCCTTTTATTGTGGCCAGCCTAAGGCACACCTGTGCAATAATCATGCTGTCTAATCAGCATCTTGATATACCACACCTGGAGGATGGATTATCTCGGCAAAGGAGAAGTGCTCACTAACACAGATTTAGACAGATTTGTGAACAATATTTGAGAGAAATAGGCCTTTTGTGTACATAGAAAAAGTCTTAGATCTTTGAGTTCAGCTCATGAAAAATGGGGGCAAAAACAAAAGTGTTGCATTTATAATTTTGTTCAGTGTAATATATGAAAATACATTTTTAGATCTGAAATTGGTTGTTTTGTGTTTTAATGTGCAGAGCATTATAAGGTGCATTACAGGGCATAATTAATGTATTAAAATACTTGCATTATGCATTATATAGGCTTCAACTAATGTTTTAAATAAATAAATAATGCAAGTATTTATGCTCAAGGAACACAATTATTATTGGTTTTATGCTTCAAAATAATATGCTCCATTAAATTGGAGCAAAAAAAAAAAACCCTAGGATGTACTACGCAATTTTAATGAAGAAATGAAAATTAATCACTCAATTTGTCATGTTTCAATTAAAAAACATGAATTTAATTACATTACTCAAGAAAAAGTTATGGAGTTGCCATAATTGTAATTTTTTTTTCAATAATCTAAAATATGTGAGAAGGAAAAACATTACTGAAGACTGGAGGAATGATGCTGAAAAT